ATGATGACAGTCAGTGCCGTCACAGGGGGCTGAGCCGCCTCTAGTCTAATTTTCTGGCTACGCCACTATCACGCACCCAAGTTCACGCTGCACCCACGTTCTCACGCACACTCTGGCATAACTAAATATTTGGTAATTTTTTTCTTTAATTTCTTTATTTACTTTTGATTAATAATTTTGTTCCTGTAAGTTTTGCTTTTCATTCTAGATTAACTTGCATCACTAGTATTTTTGTTAATATTTTTTTCAGTAATTTATTTTTCAATAAAGATCTTCAAAAACTTACTTGAATCAGTTCTTTTACTTCATCATTCCTGTTAGTTTAGAAATATACGTCATCTCTCGTTCTATCAGACTCATGGATAAAAAAATTAACCAATAAATTTTTTTTTCTTTCCTCTTATTCACACGACCAATAGGGTGGGGGTGTCGTTGATCTGAAAAAGTACCTCCCATTTTTATCTGCACAAAAAATAAGCTTGAAATGACATTTGAATGTAGATTAGAAAAGCGAAAACGAGTAATATTGTTTACCTAATGTAAAAGTTATGCCTGTTATACGACATTTTCTGGGAATCATGATCTTTAAATGTGTCAAATTTGGAAAAGTTCCATCACAATTTTCTTCAGCAAACGCAGAAATACGCAATAAATGTTGAATGGTAAACACAAGCGATTGAATATTGTTGTAAATACTAGGCAAAACATGTGAATAAAATCGTTCCATTAATTGTTCATGCGATGATTCACAATAATCAAAAGTTAAATCGATTGAATGACAATTGTCTATTGCAAGTTGTTCTAAACGATTATTTCCAATGCCGATAATAGAACAAAGCAATAAGACTCGAGGTTTAACTTTATTCATAATAGCTAAGATTAAATTATATTTGTATTTGAGAGAAAAAGCATTATTGAGGAATTATCTTTAACAATTTAGCCTATAACTTGAAGTATTGAGAACAACAAGTTGCATGCTAGTTTGTAAACAAAATCATATATAGAAAAAAAGTTCTCCGCAATTTTCCTATCGATATATCTTTGCGACTACTTGATCAATTTCAATAAATAAATAGCCATTTTAAAGAACATTTACAAATGTACTTATTGTACCAAAATAAGGGTTCTAACGGGTGTCCCAGAATAAATTGCACTAAAATTCAGTGAACTGTTTTCCTCATTTTCTGTGTATAAAAAAATATCTTTATATGCCAAAAGGTAGAGAATTTGAAGCTCTATAAAACTACATTTATGGTAGACCTAAATGTATTATTATAAAGAAAATGAAAATAAAAAGCAAACATAGTCGAAAATATGTACTGCGACATACTAATAACAACTCGAATTTTTTGATAATTGCGTTAACTTTGATTACTTAATGATGACATATTTCTAACAGGATCCCAATCCATTTATCGAATAAATAGTGTAATATAGAAAAGTTTATTGAATGGGAAATGGATATACAGTGGCTGTCAAAATTGTCCGACCACCTAAAAAATGTTTTTTGTTTATTTTATATTTCACAAAAAAAACGTGACTACCCAGACAGACAAAATTAAAAAAAAAACGATGAAATACTCGTAGAAATTTTAACGAAAATAAAATCGGGAAAAGCGCACATTTCTACGATTTTTATCTCCGTTAGCTTTTCTACGGTAATCAACGCGTTGAAACCCAGCGCGTATTCATCAATTAGAAATCTACGCATTTATACCATTTACAAATCTCTGCATTTTTACTGTTTACTAATCAACGCGTTCTTAACGCCTGAAAATGTGCGCTTTTCCCGATTTTTATCTACGTTAACCTTTCTACGCCGAATAACATACTAGCATACGACCCGTTTAAGCGCCAACAATTACACAATTTGTCCATTTCCATTGCTCTTAGAGTCCGTACGTATATTCTACGCCCATTTGCTTCTTCTCTTCTAAACTCTCGCTCAGTTTGTCACTAATCATTATGCTCAAGTGGATAACGTATAACAGATACGCGAATGGATAACGTATGAACAGATACCCAAGTGGGTAACACACAGACAGATACGGAAATGAGTAATGTATGAACAGATATCCAAGTGGATAACGTATAAACAGACACCCAAGTGGATAACGTATGAACCAATACCCAAGTGGGTAACACACAGACAGATACCCCAAGTGGGTAACGCAAAGAAAGGTACCCAAGTGGGTAACATAAAAAACAGATACCCCAAGTGGGTAACGCAAAGAAAGGTACCCAAGTGGGTAACATAAAAACAGATACCCAAGCGGATATCACACAGACAGATACCGAAATGGGTAATGTATGAAGAGATATCCAAGTGGATAACGTATAAACAGATACCCAAGTGGGTAACACACAGACAGATACCCCAGGTGGGTAACGCACAGAAAGGTACCCAAGTGGGTAACAAAAACAGATACCCAAACGGGTAATGTATAAACAGATATCCAAGTGGATAACATGTAAACAGATACCAAGGTGGGTAACGTATGAACAGATACCCAGGTCATGCAATCAGAGAGTAAGATCAGGTATGAATTCATACATCCTCATATCTGATCTGATGCCAGATTCGTATATGATCATGTGGGATCATACGAGAAACCGTACAAAAAGTCGTAGTCTCTGAGATCTGATAGCACTTCATGTGATACGATTCTTGTATGAAACGACAATAAGATCTGATTACATGATATAGAATGAATTACTAATAATAATTCCACTGATACTTTCCAAAGCATTCATAATTGATAACCATTACCTTCCTCATCAATTATGCTTCAGTCCTATACTAAGTAACCATAAAAATCTGATATACAACACAAATCTTTAGATACTCACATCATCGTCTACGAGAAACCCTAGGATTCTCTCACAAGTAGATCATCACTAGCTACGACTCACTCTTAAGTAGGCCTCGCATAGCGCTATCACTCACTTCTGAGTAATCCATCGATACTTGAGACTCACTTCTAAGTACCTCAAATGTAGACTACACTCATTTCTAAATGCGT